GGCTTTATTTTGCCTGTATCAAAAGTATAGACGCACCTCAAAAATTTGATGGATTTATTATGAAAACCAACATATAACAATTTCTTAATAATCAATTGTTCCTCCATGTTTAGAAATGACTTCAAAAATTCTATTTGGCATTGATTCAACTAATCTATACAGCAACTGTTCATCCAAACAATTCCACGACTGATTAATCGCAGTTCTGAGGTCTGCTACACTATCAAAAGTCTTTCCCTGACGGTAAATATCTCTGACTAAAAGTCCCCATAGGTTCTCTATGGGGTTAAGATCAGGAGAGCAAGCAGGCCAGTCCATTGTGACTATATTTCTCTCCTCTAACCATGATTTTGTGGACCTGCTCGCATGAATCGCCGCGTTGTCTTGTTGGAAAATGAATTCTCCTCCTTCCTGACGTTCCAGAAAAGGCAGCAGATGACGACGTAGCACCTCCTGGTAATCCGCCGAGTTCATATGAGTGGATGTGAAGGCGAGCTCCAGCTTCCCGTTCTGATGGAATCCTCCCCAAACCATGACGCTCCCTCCACCGAAATTACGTCTGCTGAAGTACTTCGGTTCCTTGCGGAGGTCCCTCCAGTAGAACGCATTTCCATCCGGACCATCCAAATTGAACTTTTTCTCGTCAGAAAATATCACCTAAACAGGAAAAGTCGGCTTAGTAAGCTTTATGGAGAAGATGCATACCTTCGACCAATTTGTTGCCATGTTCCTTTTTGCAAATTGGAGCCGAGCCTCCTTGTGGGACTCGGTAAGTCGCGGGGCAGGACGAAGACGGCATCTAACTATGTTGCTGTTGCGTTTGATTGCCCTGCATATCGTCATTCTAGAAACTGGATCCGGTAAAGTGGCTCGAACTCCACTGATGCTGCTATGGTTGAGTTGGAAACAAGTCGTCCTATCGCACGTTCTTGTTGTGGAGTCAGCTTTTTTGGCCTCCCAGATCTCTTCCTTCTACCGTAGGATTCTGGATCACTCACATATCGGTCGACGACTCTTGATGAACGTCGCAATTGCTGGGCGATTTGACGATTGCTCAGGCCAGCTGTGTGCAAGGCGCGAATCTGCGCCTGCTCGGCTTCTGACAAATGCGGACCTCGTGGCATTTTATAATTTTGTGCAGGGTACTCATTGCTAGTTATTGGTTTCTTGAAACGGCAACTTCCCCGAGTGTAGTCTACTTTTTGACCGACGTTTATAGAGTGCGTCTATACTTTTGATACAGCCAAAAAAATGCATACCTTTTGAAAAAAGCTGGAATTCTTCCCATTTCAAAGAAAAACTGCAAAATCTAGGTTTTCGAGCATGGCGATTCATGTGGGCATAGGCCCGTTTGTCAAGAGCTTCTGCGGAGTCCAGTTATGGTAATTTTGGGGGTGCGTCTATACTTATGGTACGCACTAATATCAGCATTGGTATCAGGGTCGAAAGTAACGGAGACTGTCGGTGTCAGCCAAGCGACAAAAAAGAATGTGAACGAAAGTCAAACAGGCACTTTCTAGCGAGGCTTGTACTGCCGATAATTGCGGATACGAATGCAAGTATCAGCACGGTCACCATTGGTCATGAGGGCTCAAGGTGAGCAGGGTAACCCCAGCGAAGCAAGCACCCGCGCCTGTAATTCTTAGATCAAATCGAGGGTGCGATTGTGGGGGCGATCCTACCGCCTTCCCCTGTTTTATCACAGCTCATTTGCCAAATTATTGGGGCTGCCAAAAAATCCCGACTGCGTCATGGCTAAAAATTACCGTAACCGAAGTACACGACTATAGGCCGCTGTCAGCCTGCAACATCTTTACGCAGCCATTCTACAGCAAAATGTTTGTACACTGGTCTGTCAATAAAAACAGTAGAGAGCGTCCCAACCTCATTTTGAATGGGAACAGAACACGTGGCGCATCATGAAAAAGGAATTACTAACATACAATGCCGTCTCCTTGATCCATGAAAAGATGGGGAAGGGCCAGAAATTAGGTTTCGCGCGATCATGACTAAAAATAGGGGCGGGCCTTTATGAGGAAGCGCGCCTCCAGCTTTTACCATTAGGTGATCAACCAATGCGCAAGTCAGCCGTTCCATACTCACTACATACACACATAGGTTTTCCAAGAAATAGCAATCCCGTAGGGATGGAAGGCTCAATTGGCTTAAGCGGGACCTCCCTAAAAGCTGCTGCGGCACCTCCTCCCACTGCTCCACCTTTTCTAGCTAATCAAACTGACAGATGTAAAAATTTTAACGCTTTGTTTTAGGTGACGTTCACAGCTTGCAATGAGTACTTCGCAGATGATCAGTGAGTGTTTTTTTTTCAGGAGTTCTTCTATCGTAATTGTTCGCTATAATAAAACTCAGCTTTGCGGGCCGGCGGAGGGAAGGGGGGGGGGGACAATTTCGCAAGTGCGGCCGGTGTGGCCCGACAAGGACTCGACGCCGATTTTTCGCAAGTGCGGCCGGCCGTGATTCGGCAATGATTCACGACGTCCCATAATGCGGCTATATTCACGCGGCGCCGAAACTGAACAGACCAAGCGAGCGGACTGGTGCTATAAAGTGGCATGACATGTACCAGATAGTACATTAAGAATCCAGAAAGCGGCAGAATTGATATCACGTGGATGTGATTCGATATCGTATCACGGGGTCCCCAAAGCTGCAAAGTGTGATCCTATATAGGACCGCGCTATCGCTAATGTGTTGAGAGGAGACTGTGGCAAAGCAAAATACGATAGAAGACTTTGATTTCAGGTCCTACAACAGAGACGCATCAATTTTAAGCAACGTGCGTCACAGATCATTCTTCATGTGCCGGCAGAGCATATTCGACGCATCAAAGAAACCGAGGGAATTGGATCCATCAGCCGCGAAACTCAACATTTCTGTCGTAAGTCTCTTGTCCAAAAGAATTCGGACTTCACCTTGCCAAGATTTAGCCAATTCAGAGCTCTCTACAGCGCTGTGCTCGTGGCGATATGAAAACTAAGAAAAGGGATCTTAAAGTTTGTAGCTTCGCTCCCATTCCAGCGCCATCGATCAGCACTAGTTGATTGTCTGGGAGAAGTTCTAGAATGACAAAACTGGGCAGCTTCGGCCCTATGCCATGCCCAAGGAGAAGGGATGTAGCAAATTCTCTTGAAATCAACTAGCTTTCGGAGAATACTTTCGCAATATTCAGCGCACTTGTATTTTTAGTTACGCAACATACTTCACAAAACCCGTTCCCCCTCCAATTCCAAATGGCAACAATTTGAGTTCAAAGGGATTTCAACCCAGTCCCGGCTCTCAAAGCATAAAATACGACTTACGGCTTCTCGACAACGCGAGGCAATTGTACCGAAAATGCTGAAAAGTATTTTATAGAGTAACATAACTGTAAACTATCCCCCTAAGAAAGCTGGAAAAGGGCCGTATGCTACCCGAAGGGGTTAGGGGACGAAAATTCCTTTAAATTTTCTCTGTCTTCCCAACTGGGATTGCCCTGATAAAGGGCCTACATTTAATGTATGTATGTAGGTAAAGTAAACATGCACTGAAAATGAAGAAACTATATCGTTCAAAACAAATAAATTTAAAGGAAACTTTGGATCGTCTAGCCGCTTTAGGAAGTTGGCGTACGGACCACTCAGGAAGGCTTGTTGGAGTTACAATTTATGGCGCCCAAACCAAGCAGGAACGTTGATTATAGGGGGTAGAATGGGGGCTCAGCGCCTCTTATGGCTCTTGCTAGTCAGAATAATTATGACCTACACTGGCCCAAACCATGAGTTGGATACTCATATTTGCAGAAACGACGACTATGCACGGTCCTAAGCGAATCTTCCAAGGCAAGAAGTTTTCTACACATTTTTGGATTCTCATGATGCTCGTGTCGGCGATTCTACTTATTTATCAAGTTGCATCACTTTTATCAATGTTCCTGAGCAATCCCACTGTTTCCCAGGTTGGTTTCTTTCAGCAAATAGTGAAACCCCTCAAGGGACCACTGAACACAGACGTAACTCCTAAAAGCTCATTCCATGACAAATCTATGTGGACCTATCCATTCCGTTTGGATAATGAAGCTGCCGCGATAAGTGCTTCTTCCTGCGGTTTCGAAAGTACACGTGAAGCTGTTAGACGCTTGTCATTTCCGCTGCTGGGCGCATCTGCAGCCGCTCGTGATGAATAGATTCTACGAGGCGGAATGCCTGCGTCTCGCCCGATCCCTATGTTCTCTCCTCTCAAAGTCACTTTCGTATAACTCAGCGCTCAGTATTTCTTAGGTTGTCTCTTTCGTACACTTGTTCACTTCCCAAAAATGAACAGTCCCTTATTTTTGGGGCCTCCAGCGGCTTTTTTGTGTTCTGTCGGTGCGACAACATGCTTTACATTCCAATCGCCCAACACCCCGCTTCTGCATTTCGCGGAATACGCCTTTAGTTTGCTTCAAAAAGTTGAGAACGCCGTAATCTCTATCATCTGGAGTTCAACAATGAAAAGTAAATTTGATCAATGTCCATTTAGAAGTTTAACCCGTACTTTTTGCGACTCTAAAATCTCATCAAAAACAGTTTTTTGGACCAACCACAGTGAACTGAGGATCAAAAATAATACAAATCGATTTCACTCCAAAGATTTACTTTCATTTCAGGTCTCATTCTTGATAAGCGAAGAGGGTATGGATTTTCCTGTGGTGACGTTGTGCAACTTCAATCCCATAAAGAAATCGTATATTCAGTGTGAGTAAGAAAGGGAAGATTATGCTCGCAATATTGAAGAACGAGAGTTTCAGATTTGAACGCCACTGGAGACTTTTCCGATGAACTGCTTGACTATCTGATGCAATCGTTGATAGACACTCAAACCCTGTACAGCAACGGCGATCGAGCCGAGCTACATGTTGGTGAGTTTTGCAGGGTCACAGCAAGTTTATCAATGCATCAAAGATCGCTCAAGAAAGTGGGCGTGGCTTAGAGCGAGGGGCGTGGTCAAACTTCACTAGGGAAAGGTAGTGTTTGAAGTGTTCGAACTTGACGGCGAATGGTCATGTAACTTTCATTTTGGACGCTACTCCGCCAATCGAAAAAAGCAAATTAAGGAAAATCACGGCGAAAGAAAGGTCCTTGAATCGAAAAATATATACCCTGTTCGAACCCTACTTGTATCGCCAAATTACTGGAAATACCCCTTTCATTCTAAAAGAAAGTGAATCGATATAATTGCGTGGCGCATCCTGAGGAGGAAACTTATCAACGTTTATTACTTTTTGCTTTGTTCTTAAAAATTATGCTCGCTTTTTTTCAGGTGACCGAGCCTACAGGTCTATCAAGCACAGCATCCAAACTTCACCATTGACGGTTTCTTTGAAGAAGCAGGGTTTGTACTTTTTTCTATTCGCGTCACCGGTTAAGGCACAGACTGATGATCGCGAATCTTTTTGCCCTGTGATTGCCCTTTTTACCTAACAAAGTACATCCCACTTCCCGTTGTTTACACCTTTCGCCTTCTTCATATCACACAAGAAGATTAGAAAGAAATCAACAGATTGGCGTACCAGCTTTCGGAGGTGAAACAGCACTCCCAATGAGAAATACTGTAGCCATGAAGCGCACGGGACGGAAGTGTGTACGTGCTAGTTGGCACTCACGCACGCGAGTCGGTCCGGATTCAAAATCCTGGCCGTAGTCGCACTGGTCAAGTCACAAGCCTTCCATCCCTTCCGGGGTCTGGTTTAATTGGTACCAGACTTGTCTGGGAGGATAAAAACACTGACTTGTACATGCTGGCCCCCGCAAGTCATTGTATAGGCCACATCGCATTCAAACGCCACTGCGAATGTACAAATGGAAGTAGAATGCGTGCCGCATCCCAAAAGGGATTGATCAACGGCAAATGCTTTATCCTTTATCCTTTATGAAGGCACGGGTTTGCCACTGTTGAATTCTTTCCAGTCAACGTTCCCTGGGAATGAGGTACAGATCTCCTATAGCCACTAAGCATCATGTGCACTGCCTATCTTCGAAATTACGCGACATTGTTAACGGCCACCAGGCCTTGCCTCAACCGGCGACCACCTTTGCAGTATTTTACTGCTTCATGCGTACGCAGTGCTGCCACCGTTTCGTGCAACATCACTCTCTCGTGCACTTCCCCGCTTGCTGGCCACTCTGGTGTGCCCCCCTTCGGTTATATGTATCCCTTCGAAGTTTCCTCCATGTTCTCTGCCGCAAATGGCTAGAGCACGGATGATTAGACAACGGCGTTTGTACTTGGCTTCAAATCCCAAGGAGGAAAGTGAGAGCCCTAGGAGTAAGCCTTTAAGGAAGGCGACTGCCGGAGCTGGTGAGTTCCAATTACAAATTTGGGGGGGTTTTTGGCCAATCCTTTCGAATGTGTCAGATCACAGTGCTCATCTAATAAGCTGTTAAGGCGAGGGAGCATCAAATCAAGGCGGTCCAAAAGACCGACTTCAAGTTGCCCGCACACAATCCCCTTTTTACTATGGGTGACATTCCAAGAAAAGGACACGAGAAAATACCCTCAATTTCGATGTTTTTATGGATTCCTTTTTCCTATTTTCCTCACTGACGGTCCTCTCCTACACCTCTTTCAACACTCTCAACACAAAATGATCCATTATCGCTTTAGATCGCGACCATTGCCTTTAAGACACTTTCCCCGATCGCACAACCACACTCAAATTTCACTTGAAGTCTTGGTGCTAGGGGTGCCTCCCGAAATCGATTTCAAATCGAAATGCCAATGTTTATAATGGTCTCAAATGTGTGATGCATTCATTTGATGTATTTTAATTGATAAATAAGATTTCAGCTTCAACTGCACTGAAACGATGAAACTGTGCTCGTTTGGCGGTCGACAATTCGATTGCTGTAAATTCATAGAGGCCACGGTTGACCAATCTGGGCAAATGCCATTCGCTGGACATGCGAAATGCACGGGAATGGATGCAGAAGCAGACGGTGGCCGGTGTGAATGCGGGTGGAAGATTGTTCGGTGTTAACTGCTCATCCTTCCTTTTCTGATAGTTCTTTTTTAGTCTTCAAATCATTCTTGACGTCCATATGGAGGAGCAGTTCGATGGCACCGGAGGTAAGATAGCTCTTACAGAGTAGATATTGATTAAAAAAGACCATGGAACAAAAACGGACTGCATTTTGAAGCTATGTCAACCGGAAATGTTTGCCTACCCTACTACGAAGATGATGCGCCCAGAGCTCAGAAATATGATGTTGACGTTGCAGAAAAACCAAAAACAATGCAGTGAAACCAAGGTTGCTCACCTAGGACATTTGGGGAACAGTCAAAATAATGAATAGCTTGTTTGCGCATCCATTGTTCGAAGATCATTTTACAACGATACTTCAAGGGATTGAAGAAATCTTCCCCACGGAAAAAGCCCCTGCCTTCATTAACCCTACAGAAAACTGATACCTTACCAGGAATCCTTAAAGAAAGACTGAATTTTCTGTTGTTTAGGATTAGTATATCGAAACAAAGCTTATTCCTTCCTTTTGCTTACGGCTCATAAGCTAGGCTAACGTAGTTCCATCTTCTTGGTAATGTAGCGGAGCTTTTTCGTGGAGTCCCCTTTAAATCACGATGCTGTCACATCACGTGCTGCAACTTGAAGCAATTCACATTGCAGCACTCTCGCTGTTTTGCTTCACTAGTTAACCTAAATTTTGCCATTTTTCAAGTATCTGCATTTAAATTCGAACAAAATAAGTCATTGCCTTAACAGTTATTTAGCTTTCAACGATGCTCTAGGAACGCAAAATCTTCTCCACATGCATTCGAGAACAGGCTTTCGCTATTATTCCACCACAAGAATATCGACACATTATCCGTATCTCGTGTCCGAAGGATCATCGCTCACCGGACTCTATCTATTCGGCTATTCCCACAAATACAGTACATATATCGCAATCATTTACAGTATATGTCTCCAATACAACTCATATTTGGAGAGACGGGAAATGTCACAAGTTATTTTCTAACATCAATCAAAACCACAGCGCGCATTTTTGACTCTTGGCTCTGTAGAATAACAGCAATTTTGCGATCGCTACCGTCGTGATTCGATATAGGATCACGCTGTCCCACGTAGCTTGCAACACGTGACTCGTAACACGCTGCTGCCAATGTGGCAATGAATAGATTGAATAGATTGCGAGACTCCACTAGATGACGCGAATGGGGACATTCGTCTCGACCCGTTCCGTGCATCCGGAAAGGCAGATGATCGTAACGGGACAGCGGGCATCCCATGCGTCTGATGCGCATTATGGACAAACATATACGTATATCCATTTATCTTAGCGCTCGAATCGCTAAGATAAACTGGAACAACACTACTACGCAGAGTCAGACGGCGCTCCGACTCGTCACTGACCTCTGCGTCTCTCTTGCCTTTTCCTCGCCGCGCATACGCCTTCTATCGAAATACCTCTGACTGCTTAACACAATGATGGGTTACATATTTCGGGCGCCAACGTGGGTATTGCTTGGACCCTCCCCTAAAATCGGAAACTCTGCCCACCGTTTTCAAGCATAATCTGGGATGGTGTGCATCTACTTAAATGAAAAACTGTCAATACATATGCAGGGTTGAAGTTGAAACTCTCTATTCAAAACAAAAACATACAACACAGCTCATATCAGGGCCGCCAAACGGTACACAGACTGTCCCATTACGCAGCAGCGCATAAAAATTCATATGTTTTCGCGAGTTGGCTCAATCTATTATATAGATTAGAGAAAACAAAAACACCTCGGATCCACCGTGTGACAGAATCAGGTTAAAATTGTGGACCATTCAATGCCGTCGAGACGGCGCAAATAATCGCTATCTATACCTAATTTGTCTATTTAACATGTTTCAGTACGTTCTGCTATCGTCAGATGATTGGGGAAACTGCAGTACCAAATGGCCGCCCTCATATCATACCAAGCTTGCCTACTCGTCGGTCAACTGTGAATCACTTTGCAAGGTACAATATCGCTGTACGGGTTTTCATACTGTATTATAAATTGCCCTTCATGCTCATGGTCAGCACGCATACACTGTGTACCTAATTAGTATGGCTTACCAGGAAGGTCTTTCAGGGCGTGACGAGCTTTTTGAAAACGGTCTTTTGCATGATATAGGGGCAGATGCGGGGACCACAGAACCATGTTTAATTTTTCCTGAACGGCCCTCTGAATACCAGAAAAGGGGGTCCCTAGTTCGATTCCTCTTGGTGACAAATTTTTGCATTTCGAGTTGACGTTCCAAAATTCGCGCAAAATGGAGTTCTGATTGTTCTGGTTGGTTCTAACTCCATTTTGCGCGAATTTTGGCACGTCAACTCGAAATGCAAAAATTTGTTACCACGAGGAATCGAACTAGGGACCTCCTTTTCTGGTATTCAGAGGGCCGTTCAGGAAAAATTGAACATGGTTCTGTGGTTCCCGCATCTGCCCCTATATCATGCAAAAGACCGTTTTCAAAAAGCTTGTCACGCCCTGAAAGACCTTCCTGGTAAGTTTTAGCCGGTCCAATCCTTATATTGAAACATAGATGGGGGGGGTCGTATTCGCAATTTCGGCTCTTTGGTGAAGAAATAATTTTAAGTAATGAAAATTTTTTTGAAGAATCTGGGGCAATTTTCTTGAAGTTCAGAGAGTCTCCCTATTTTCTACATCTCCACTCCAGCCGCCTCGGTTCATCCGTTCTCAAAACTTTTTTTATATTTTATTAGTTTTATGCATATTCTCATGTTCTTAATCATTATTTGCTATTAATTATAGTATTTCTATATTTTCATTTTTTGAATTACGATGTCACTTTCTCGCGTTTTGGCTCACGGGCATCGGAACTACAAACTCCCCTCTTCTCATCCTCTCTGCTGCATAAAAAAAGGATTTAATTTCCTCTCTGTCGCCGTCCCCGCCGCACTCTCTTGCCTCAATTATTTCTATAACGCGCCCATCAGGTTCAAAAGAAGGTTACTGTTTCCAGGCTTACTACTTCTACGATCGATGTGGTTGCAGCCCGTTCTCTTATAATATCGATGTGTGTGAGTAAATTTCAAAAAAATTGCTAACGATTATATCTTTTTGGGAATGATTTGCTCAAATGACGTAACGGGCGGTGAATATGAGCTCCGGGGGGAAGGCATTCATGATATCTGATCGAAATGACAGTATCTAACCAAAGAGTAGTTGCGGAAGTGCACTCACATCTGATTAATATACAGAGCTCAGGCTCTGACGATGCCTACTATTAGATAGGGATACCAACCCGGAATTCCGTACAAAATCGAGTACCTGAAAGGTCTTTTCTTCGAGGCTCGCATGGCGATTGCAAGATTTGACGAAACTCAAAAGTCTGCAAGGGCAGCCATTTTCGCTACAGAATAACAGGACGCTGAGGTCGTAGGCCAACGTCACAGTGAAAGATATGATGATTCTGGTTGGCAGGATTAGAGGGTCTTTTTGCTACTCTACTCGAAGATATGAGTAGCCCCCTCCCCCCGAACTACATTTTCACCGACGTAACATATAGCAAAAGACATATTAAGCGCATAGCTTTTCAATTCTTTTCCACAAAATCTCACCTTCTTGAGAAGTATTGTATGTCACGGCAATGTAACCTACACAGGTTAGAGTCCTTGTGTCACGGAAAAAACTGGAATCTATAATATAATATAGAATATATAAAAATCTGGAGAATCTATAAGAGATAGGATTGATGAGCAACTTCGACCCTGACATAGTCATTTCAGCGATGCCGATGTGCACACCTTACCAAACATTCCAATGTATCGATCAGCACATTCGAACACAAGTCAATGGTAAGTCCAGCCTATTTATAGTAATTATTTAGTTCAGGCGCTATCGCAATATACGGGAGCATCCTCTTGGACTAACTAAGCCTAGGAAGAGGCAGGAGCTCCACGGAAAATGAAAATGGCTCACGCACCTTGGAGTCTCTCCCCCGCCTGAGGCTTAGTCCCGTTTTTAACAAAAAAGACATGTTTTACGCAATTTTGGAAGCATTGTCATCATAATGCTCCTTTATACTGCGATAGCGCCTTTGGTTGACTTTAGTTTACCGTGGCTATTGCAGTGGCTAGAGGCGCCGCCTTCAGTGCCCACCCTCAAGGGATCGATTTTTGCCAAAGCAAACCATGCTCTGTTATCTCTTTACAGCCTCGAACACATCGCAGAGATCTTGTCTGTGAAAAAAACTTAACGGCAACTATTTTTTATAAATTTCTTAGCGTAGCAATTCCGCGATCCTTATCAAAATCAAGGCAACGGCGAATTCATCAAGGGTCACAATCAAATCATTCAATGGCACATGATGAGAGCGGGAGATTTTCGCGTCCAGAACTTGTAACCCCAAAAGAGTTCTTCTGTTTTTAGTCGAGATGTACAGGGTTTTGCCCATGAACCATTCGGCGTGGTGGCATGTCCTCCAACCAAGGAGATACCCTGACCTTCGTGATAAAATGTTGAAAGAGTGCCTCAATAAGAGCCCAACTATTATTCAGGCACCGACTATTTCCGCATGCCACAATGTCAGGAATGCCAAATCGAGTGCAACAGTCTCGTCTACCATGCTTACAATTCATACGGTTCCGGGTTTAGCAACGGAGCACTAAAATGGTTGAGTCGCAAAAATCCCGAGTGGAGCAAAGCTCACATGAGGTTTGTTATGCATGAATGCTATTTCCTATAGAGTTCAAGAGTTGGGCCGATGGTTACCACCGGCCGTGCGTGCAATGTATCCCGTCTCAGATTCCATCCTTGCCAGTAGAGCCTTCCATTGTTCTGGGGGTGTCTGGAGGTAGAGGCACGCATTCCTCTTTATGTTGTTCGCATTTCCATCCACTATCAGCCAAAGAGGTCTTCCGACGCCACTACGCCCTTCTAAATAGGAATTCATTGGCATGGCACCCTACCTCATAATTCGGACGTAGTAGCCACACGCTCTGTTTAAGGGTTGGCGTTCTTGTTGTACGAGCGAGGGTCACCGTGTTAGCTTATTTTCAAAAATTTTATGACCCCGCCTTTCTAAGGGGTATCACTGTGACCCCCACCCCCACCACCACAATCAGCCTCAGGAGACCTTCCCAGTACGAATCGCCTCCCCCGTTCCGACCACCATCCCCACCAACGTGGGTAGCATTTCTGAGATGAAATCAACTCTGCCCCTTTCCTCACCAAAGCGACCAGAAGGGGGAGACGTAAATATGTCCAATAGCTTACAACTGAAAATCTTCTGATTTTCCTTTTTCGTTTTTTTCCTGGAAGTTTTCCTAGAACCATCGCAAAACCCCTCGCACGACCCCCTCTGCCACCACGACCCCTTCACCTTCCAAAAATACAACGCCCCTTGCTTTCACATATTGACATTTACCAACTAAAACGGCGACCCTCTCCAAGAAGCTCAGATACGACTCCTCTCGTTGAGAACTGCGCAATGCCCTGGTTAGGAGATTTGTCTGTGAGTATAAAGTATTAGATCTCACATCGAGTGCCTGGCAAACCATTAGAAGCCGAACACACCTAACGCTGCTGTAATTCTGAATGGAGATAAAAGGCAGGGCGCATTCCAGAAGCACTCGATCAAGACAAACAATTCATCCTCCTTATTTGGATGTATATGTTGTGCCCATGATTACAAAAAATAAATTCATTTGAACTTCGATTTGAAGGACCAACTTTCTCACGGTGAACGTTTTCCACCGGGACATGGCGCACACCGAGTACCGACAAGTAAAGGCTACTTCATTGACAGAAATTCTCAGTGAGTTCATTAGCGGATTTACTCGATCCTACCGTATGCAATCCGTTATAGGTGACATCGGTGGTAACATGGGTATGTTCCTGGGAATGTCACTGATTACGGTCACTGAGATCAGCCTGTTCATATCAAAAATCGCATGGATCGCTTTCTCCAAACGAAGACGGGACTACATGTTCAACAAGAAGAAACGAGAAGTTGTAAGTCCTTTGTCGCAAATTAGTCCTGCCACTATGCGCATAATTTAAAATGGGTATCGATTTTGCGCGTGTATGATCAATCTGTTTTCCACAACCACCTGCTTATGGGTTGGTTCAAAGTGGCAAATTCCAATCACGAGAACTCACTCGCCATTTTAGGAAGAGAAGAAACAATTGGAAGAAACGGTCTCGGTGTTCAGCACGTTACGCAGCCGTAAATTCGGAACTGTTGGTGATTCATTCCGAGCCACTCAGTCACGAATACGTTCACTTAGCAAGCAAGTTCGAAGCAGTTTACGAGGATCAAAGGTCAGCAGCACTGATTCGCCACCGTCAGCAACATTGGTGAGTGACACATTACCCACCTATCACAAACAAACCTAAGTTGAGGTTAACGGATACTCAATTGGTCAAGGAATAGTAAAAAGGCGGGTACCTGACAGGAGGCTCGTCGCGCGGCAGTCGCAGCGCGTACTGTAGTGATTTAAGGTCAAGTTTAATATAATGTGACATTGCACGTCCTACATCGCACATCACGCGCTGCCGCGCACTCGTCGCTGAATCTGGCCTCCTTGCACGGCAAGGAGGCTCGGGTACCAGAAAAGAGCTAGAAGTCTTCTCAAAGAAGACTGCCGTCCGGACCACAGCAGTCACGGAAACTTGGTGACATTTTTTGATAAGCATTGGAGGACATTCTTTAACTAGATTTAACGTTATGCCTGGATGACGGGTGGTGTTAAGTCGGTACGGTCTGTTTATTCTCTGCCCCGTGAACAAAAGTGCGGTTGCCATATACAGTACAATCCTCCAATTAGCGGCCTAAGAGAAGCTTCCACTTCCATGTAGTAAATGAAATTCTCGCTTTGATTCTGTGTTCTACGAAAAATCTCCTCGTTTATTTCGAGTGCTGGACCTAGCCTGTGTGTTTTATGTGTTTCGTAAATTAGAACAGTACACCCAAGTGTAAAATATATAAATAAATATAATAACATGAACGAAATGGGGCTGTCGTAATTGAAAGTTATGGAATTAGTAAATAATGAAAGTGTGTGGATCGTTAGGAGGAGTATTTAGAGGTGGAAGCAGGTGTCTGAGCTCTCCTGCCCTATGTCCATGTTATGTAACCATAGCTATATAGGTGCTAACTTAGTTGGGGGGGGACCACGCGGCGGCGCGGGCTATCTGTTCGTCTGCTCCTCTAAGGCTTAGTACAAGGGGCAGTTACTATTTCGTCGCCACGTGGCAGTTTCAAAATGCACGCCGTCGGCGGACTAAGCCTTGGAGGAGCAGACGAACAGAGTGTCGCGTCGCCGCGTGGTCCAACAACTAAGCTAGCACCGCTGTACAGAAACAGCGAAAAGTCGTAGCAGGGTACCCGACAAGAGGCCCGTCGCGCGGCAAGTAGGCGGGGTTAGCAGACGAGTCGCAGCGACAGTGTAGTTAATTGCGGCGGTGGAGTAGTAGAATGGGCAAGTTTACGTCCGTACACCACACGCCCTGCAACGGGGTTCCGCCGACTCTGCCTTTATGCGCCGCGACAGGCGTCTGTGGCGTACCCGTCATAGCATGATGCCGCTAGATGACTCGTTGCCTTATTGTTAATATGACTTCACGTAGTACTTAATTACTCACAAACCGTTGACGGGGTGAAGTTGTTCTGGTTCTGGTTGCTTTTTACGCACAAGCAATGGTTTCGAACAAAGTAGCCACAAAATTTCAGGAAGATGGACTCGAGAAAGGACCGTTGTGTATAGAGAACTTGCGAAAATACACGAAGATCATGCGAATGATTTTAAACAAGACGATGCCAATAAGGTAATCATATTATTCATCACAGTATCGTTAATGAGCAAAACATCATGATCACATCGAATTATTGTTCAAGACGCTCTATGCTGGAGAAGCTGAAAATCAAGTGAGCATGGTAAGATTTTTTACGTTTTTGGATCCTTATGACTAGTATTAGTATCAATGTTGCATGCTCAGCCTGGATCAAAGGCTTGTTAATGAATTCGCTCAAGTTCTGCCGTAATAATCGCTAAGCCATGCCACTAATGCATAATTAGGCATAATTACCCCTCATTGGCGGTTATGCACGTGTACAGCAGCCTATTTAGAACCATCAATCAGGGCTTTCGGATACTCGGTTAATTATTGATAATGATCTAACTTACAAAAGTTGTTAGAGCAGGTGTCCTCAAAGCAGAGTGCGTCCCCGTGGTGTGTCACTGTGTGTGAGCGTCATGTATTCAACGGAATATCGATGGAAAAAAAGCGAGCGGCATGCCAGTTGGTGCTGTAGGGAGAGCGGTAAATCATGAGAAATGGTGTTCAGAATATGCGCAAATGTCGTTATTTTACCTGTGTTGCACAATGGCCATCCAAAAAACATGAACACCTGCCTCTGCTTCCTTGCTGCAAACTGGAGCGCAGATCAGTATAGGGCATCTACTACGCCAGCAACTTGTAGGTGGTGGTTCGAGAGCGGAGCAAAAAAATGCGTCGGCAACTCTACCCAAGCGCGCGTTTTATCGCGACGTGTCCCGCATATGGTCTGCTTCGCCATTCGTAAGCCATGGTAGGCATATTTCTCCTTTCTACAGCTAATGTCCACTGCCCCTCCTTAAATAATTGGTAAAAGGCCTGCAAATTTCGAGAGAAACTAAGCATAGTTGTGAAGCTGAGGGCATGGCCTATACCGCTACCACACCCACATATCTCGTCTACCAAGTGCGGACGTGGTGCTCCACTCTACTGATGAGACTCGGTGCCTGCGATGGATTTCAGTGCACAAAAAGGAGGATGGTTTCCCATATATTCCTCACATTCCCAACGTCCTGAGGAGGGGCGAAGAAGGGAAAAAGAGGGAGCTTCTGCAGCTCCATTCAAATATTTGTAATTCTCTGATATCAAATCTTCCTTATTCTCACCATTGCTTGATCTTATAACATGCTTACAGTAATTGTCACCATCATGAGTAAGATAACCCTGGACCACCAAATCATTGTGCGTGGTTCCTACGATTAAACCTCGAAATCAGGTCAAATTTTCAGATCGAACTGCAAATAGATCTACGAGAACTGAAGCGGCAAATAGCCAACGGTGCGGTGATTGAAACGGTCAGCAGAAAACGTGCCACGACAGCTCCGCCGACGCCGCGCGAATCCAAGAAGACCGTAAGACGGAAAAGTACCCGATGCGAGAAACCGCGTCACGGTTCATGCGAACCGACCAGCAGGAGAAAACAAACTCACTGATTCTCACTTATGTAATAATTGTTTGTACATATAAGAAATTGGCATAAATAACTCTTTTCACTCAAATGTGTGTCCACCAAGTAAAAAACAGATTCAATGGCATGCCCCAGGGTCAAATTGGTATTTCTGACCACTAAAAAGGTCGCTTCCCTATTCACCATTGCAAGGCAACACCATTCGTTGGCAACTCTCCAAATGTGTCTAGAATACATTTTTCCAACGTAAGCGATAAGAATAGGGGCAATCGTCATCATCCGATTTCGTCTGGTATAAGCCATGCATCCGACCTCCACTCACAGTTGCAGAATCGATTGAAAGGTGTTCATATGATGATGACCTGTTGACGGAAACTGTCTTGTTTTAAACACATTTCGTAACTCCTATAACCTAAGGTGGGCGGAAGTGGTGTAGTGGCAAGTGGCACGCTTACCACGCGAGCGGTCCGGGGATCAAATCCTGGGTCGTGAGTCGCCCGGGCCAACCAAGCCTTCCATCCCTCCGGGGTCGGTTAATTGGTACCAGACTTGTCTGGGAGGATAAAAACACTGACTTGTACATCGGCTGGCCCCGCAAGTCATTGTATAGGCCACATCGCATTCAAACGCCACTACGAATGTACAAATGGAAGTAGAATGCGTGCGTGCCGCATCCCAAAAAGGGATTGATCAACGGCAATGCTTTATCCTTTATTTTTCATAGCTATAGGTTACAGTTATTGTACTAGAATTTTTCCACATATTGCCATCATTTATGTTGCTTATCATATACTCTATTCTCATAAGCTAGGAATGAGTTGAGGACCAGAACTGAAACGATATTTTAATCACGTTTCTCAACTATTCGTAATTGTTAATATGCGTAAAAACTCCCCTCCTCCTCAATCTCCTAATCGTGTCACATGAAGTCTTTGAAGTGGAAACCCAGCTTTACGATCTATAGCTAACACATGAAAGATCGACACCTAGATTTCCTTGTGGATATTTCACTGTCTGGTAGGATTGTGCCCTTCCAGGGATCTTCCTACAACGAAAGGATTCGTTACAGACTATGTTCTGGGTTGTGCAGTTAAGTAATGCTTAAAGGGGCTCTGAACAGAAAATGCTGCTCCCTATTTCAGGTCGTGATTATTGCATATCAGTATGAAGGAGAAGGTGCCTAATCGACATAAGTCATTCCACTGGCTGCCCTTTCTCTCAATATGTACAGTGGGATCTGGAATCTCACCTAAGGACCTTCAATTCTTCCATATTCATTTTTAGAACAAGATCCTATGACCAATGTAAATGCTTTGCAATTATTTCCTGATTCTGACTAGAAGGGGAAGGCGCGGCCAACCTCGAGTGCTGACCGACGCTGAGCGTACTCTTCTGCTAATGGGGGCGCAAAGGATATGAGCAGATATTTCGAGAAGAGCCCGCGTTAGAACTCCTCGGGAGTCAATTTCACTCCATGAGTGAGATATAGCGCGGTCCAAAAGTGCATATGTGCACAATGTCCAAGTGTATCTAGATACTGTATCGCGATCGAAACTAGGCTTTACTTGACTTACCCATTCGCAGCATAACGGTGTCTGCGCATCTTGTAGACATGCTCTTCCATTCTGCTATGCGGTCGCTGCGCGCTCTCAATCATCGACTGGGAATAAGGTTATAACTTCAAGGCTCATGGAAAGTCACGGACGACGCGGACGGGTTCGCGAGTATCGGGACGTCACAGCGAAGGGGAAGAAGCCAAGTAAGACTGACGCTTGACACTATTCGCATATAGGTATTTTAAGATTATATCCACTCTTATGCATTGTGTAATTTGATAGAAGTAGTAGGAGTAATATTAGAGGAAAACACTTGCTATACACACCCACCCCGCCCCCCCCCCCCGCCCCTATTTTCAAGTTGTGGTTACTCAGAATTTGGCATAAAGGCTTTATTCCCGTACACAATTTTTTAAAATTCCAATTCCTAGTGTAAGCATGAAACCTAACATAACACAATCATTTCGCGATCGCGGCACAATTGATTCAACAAGTTGGGATACTGTGAGAAACCCAGCTTTATTTGAGCGAATTGGCGGCAGCGGCGGTGGCGGGTGTGGGTACTTAGGACAGAACGCGACTTCTTCGCTCTTCGCAACGCGACATCACGCGGCAGGCTGGCGCTCGCAGCCGAAAACTACGGGTATGGACAAGAACGCGCGGATTGGAGCAGTCTTTTTGGGTATGGCGAGAATTTGGTAAGTTCTCTGATTTATTTGCTCCCGCTTCACGAATCAATTGTATTGAGATCGGGTGAACACCGATTCTGCTGCACCAATGGAAATGTCTGTTGAATACCGATTTCGAGCGGTGTCCGTTAACGGTATTGTGAGAATTGTGAAAACTTCAATTATTTTTCGGTGAACGAGGTAATTTACATCATCGAGCCTAGGTAGTAGCTTAGATCAATAGAGGAAAACTTCTGGACATCTGATTCCTTTGTGTGGTGAATCGGAACTGTCATCAACACTCTATTCCGCGGTCTACTACTTCCATCTCTGCAAAAATAACCTACCTCCCTCTTCACTGCTAGTTAGCGGTCCACTTCTGGTTACCATTTCCTCGTTCATTATCAAATCCATGGCTATTAAGCTTCAAACTCCTTGTCGCAATCAAAGCCGACACAAATATCGCGCTCCAATCGCGCGTTCTTCCATACCGTAGTTTTTTCGCTGCGGGTGCGCTAGCCTGCCGCGCGATGTCGCGTTGCGATGAGCGAAAAGTCGCGTTCTGTCCTAAGTACCCACAAATCCAAAATGACGTCGAAGGACGAGCAGGCAGGTGGACACCCGCGAGTGTCACTGCTGATCGTACCTTCAGACGTCATTTTGAAGAGTACGCAGCACGCGCCCGCGTCGCGGCCACTGGTGTGAGATTGTCCTCCTCCCTGACTTCCCAGTGTTTTCTTGGTCCTTTCGTTCTGTCTCAATCATGGATTCTTTGCACACAAATAAGAGTATATTTCAAGTGATATAATCACAGATTTTGATTCGAGGGCTGCGCTTAAAAAGGCGGAAGCATAGCTAATTCAAAATTGCGAGAAGTTTTCACTTAATTATTCATCGGATTCAAATGTTCAATTTTTATTAGACCTCTGTGAAACTAGATCGCTAGCGATTTCACGACCAATAACAGGGACCTTTTCTTTTTCACATAATCGAGAAATTTCAAATGAGAAAAAAATCATCGGATGTACAACAATCAGGCTGCAGTCATTCAGACAAACAACATCTGAGGACCCCTTAAAAGGGGCTAAATAACGAAGGTATATCAACATCAACATCAACATATGTCCCTATTAACAGTGTCCCGAGAAGTAAACAATAACACACAGATGCACATCGAGTCATATCCAACATCGGACTAGTACAGAGACAAAGTTTGTGACTGGAACTTATCGATCAAATTCGTTCCTGAGTGGGCAGAACTGCAGCTTTATATAGGAGAACTCTGGTATACTGATAAATGATCTGTGCGACACACTCAAACTGACGCCATTCCACTTCTAATGGCAACCATATCACTTGCCTACTGTACGCAAATTTCAGGAAAGGCAGAGAAGCAGAGGGATTCTCGCTGTCTCTGCACTACTAAGCTGTCAGTTTGTCTGTGTCGCAAGATATTACATAATTACTTTGGACGAAGACTTTGCTCTAATCAAATAACCGCGTTGGCATATTTGAGAAGATACACGGTATACGAATCACCCGATCGGGAAAATTACCCACACCCAATTCCGGGAACTAACTTCAGTAAAGAATAAATGACATGTTCGGGCGAATACATGGGCACTGTGCAGCAGTACCCCGGCCGGATAATGGGTAAAATCATTCCCAAATCATTTTTTATGTGATGTTCATTTACTATCAGCACACCACTAAATCTACACAAACCTTTCATACAGATGCGCCCTTTCCTGGAGCATTCCTGACTGGAAAAACTGGTACACTTCAAAGGAACTGCCTCCAGCACCCCTGCCGGGTTGTTGCTTCATACGGTACAAGACGTGAATATGAGACAATTCCTCCCTTTTCCGCTCCGACGCCTACCCAACTTCGGATAACCTACCCAATCGGATGATTTCCCTGATGACCAGAATGCTACAGTAATAATGCGAATTACGCTCATATACTCTCTATCACCTGAATTCGTGGAGGTTAACTATACAACGTTTCGAATCATATTTCGGCCCAAATAAGGAGGAGAGACAGACACAGGAGTATGTGTAGTAAATGCCCAACAAAAACAGCACAGTAATGACACAACAAGGGATACATGGAAAGAGGAAACGATATACCAGATACGAGGACCAGGATCAGTTTGAACTCGACGAGTTACCCGAAATTTGAATACAATGGTACTCCCAGCAATAAGTGGATTTTTCTCAGGAACTGCGAGTGGCACTTATTGACCGACTGCTTCATGGCAGGTGGCTATCCAGTCTGGACTTGGCTAACCTTGAAGCTTCTGGTCAAACAAGTGTTACCTCTATTCGTTCCTAGAGAAGGAATGTTTAGAGAAAACAAAGCTCTACTGAAATCTTAAACGTGAAATCAAACGATGAGTCCACAAGTGTTTGTTCAAAGTCCTGGGTCCTTGAAACTATTCTTCATGAAGTCATCAGGCCACGATCCATAATCGACAATATGTAAGACATCATTCAGCTGTATGTTGTCACTGGTCATATACACCAAATTCTGGAATAAGATGCATTGTAACGACAGCATTCCCACACACGCTTTGTTTCCCCAAGGCTGAGCATGTCGTAATTGCAGACCTAGTAACACATCTGGCATCAGATGGCATTAAAAACTTAAATGTCCTCATGGGATCGATCACCCGTGCACTACTCAGTCTGCTATCACTACATGCCGGCATAAGGGAAACAAATTTATAACTCTCGTATCTAGGCGTGGGACGTTCGTTATTCGCAGGAAGTTGGGTGCGCGTCTGTGGCGATCACATAAAATATCTCAGCTGTCCGCCATTAGATGTCGGTCAGACTCTGCGACTGCATCGCGCCGCCAGAAGTGCAAGCAGTGGGCAATGGCAGCCGCGATCCTCTCTGCCCAGCTGAATTTTCACTAACTGCTCAGTAATAGGGCACTTTCGTCACACATCAGCTTAATCAACAATTATCACAATCCTATACAGCGCCGACAAACTTATTTACATGCATATTTGTTGACTTACTTTCACGCAATTGTTCCACATGCATACGAAATTAGAAAAAATAAGAAATCCAAAACCTCACAGCTGTGATAAATTTTGCAGACCGTAAAAAATAATCCAAAAAAATTTGAAACCCCAGACGGGACTTGAACCAGCACCTTTTGCTTACACGGCAAGTGCGCCACCAGTGCCGCTAAGCAAAAGGTGCAGGTTCAGGCCCCGTCGGTCGTAAAGTTTTGTTCACACCCCAGCATTCTTGTGAAACATTCGCAACGCGAACTGCGGCGTCAAAACAGCAGTTAACAAACAAAACAAATCAAAAATATAGACAAATATCATATGGCTCATGCATTGACTTATCTATCCCAAATTTAAATTAGACGAACTGAATAACACCAACAGTTGCAAAACAGCTGATCACTTCAACGGCTGGCAATAACCAATTTCATTGCAGCCGGCGCCACAGCGCCACCAACTCCACAATTACGATATGCTAATCTCAACCCTCAGATACAGGATGCATACGTGAACATTGGACAAGTGATTGGTTCCATGCAGTAAATTTGGAAAAATGTTGCATTTAGTAATATAACCACTGAATTAAAAATATGAATGCAAATTATAGAAATAAATGTCAATGCTTATTTCACCTCGAAAGCGCAATGATGGCGCATGTTCCAGATAAAAAGTTTTGCGTGGAACAATCAACTGCAGACACTCTGCACTGAGAACCTAGCACTACAATACTACCAGAAATCTCATGACAGTTTTCAGCTTGAAAGCTCTAGCCAAGGCGCGACAATGAGGTTATATGGACTATCATTCATAGGGTTTCATAGAGGTTTTATCGATTAACATGTTTATAATAACAATTGTTGAGGGCATTTTCTCAGAGCAACTTACAGGTCTTCTCCTTACAAGCCAACACGAACAGCCAAAAACAGCCGCTGCGCACTGGACTGTTACGAGGTTTGGGCTCAGTTCATCTTTCGATAGTAACGGTACATAACAAGATAACTCACCGTCGTAGCTGTGACCAGGATCGTGATTTTCGCTATGCGTAACGCTATCGCCGAGTTAGGCAGACCAGGTTCTCGATTTCGAATATGATGGTGAAGCATTCGCACGAAACGATGTCTCATAGTTAACACATGCTCCTTGCCAGACATCGACAATTCGAGAGGTTCTGAACAGGGACAAAAATAATTGGTCGAGAAATAGAGCATGAAGACAGCACGGACAGTAAATAACCCCTTTAAAATAACTACCAAAACGCTCCACCTTCAAACCCACTCACAACGAAACTTCAGTTATTTCAATCACCCTGGATTGCTCATAAAGCCTATGTCAGGTGCTGACTCCAACAAAATGGATAAAAAATCGAAATAGCTTACAGCGAGAAAGACAGAATGACAAATGGAACAAAAAGGGTCAGTACTTACCATCACTGAACACGATCACTGCAAGCATTAGGCATTTCTCGGTTTCATCGAGTTGCAATTCGCGAAGAGGTTCGGACAGTGTCAGCACCATTCTTTCACAACATCCTCTATAAAGCAACAGGCGACTTCAAAATACTGATGGTTCTTGAGTAAAAAATTCCACGAAAACTTATCTTAATAAAGTAAAATCTGCTGTTATTAAATAGCTAATTATTCCACATCTGGAAAAGGTATATGGAAGCGCTAAAGAGAAGCTTTGTGATGACGATCGCGGATAATCCATAGTTTGTGCATTTTTTGAGCCCGTCGTAAGTCACATGCAATTCTCCACATTGGATAGCTGTCATAGTTTGTGGCCATCTTCCAGTTCGCTGTGTAGCCGAGTGTGGAGCGAACAAGTATAGATTATACGATCTTGCGACCGCACGATCGCGCCATACTACACAACCCTATACTACTCCGTAAACAAAAGTACCTAGCCAATACAATGGAACATACCGTACGTCGGGAAAACATTGAAGGGCTTCTGATCGCGGGAAGTATGTGCCATTTGCGTAACAAACGCCATCACAGCAAGCCTCATTCGTCCAGTTTGCGCACAACCACCAATAAAATGGATTGAACCGGCTTTTGGCTATCAAAATCTGTAAAACTAACTTTTCTTTCCTTGCCAATCAGAAGGTATATGAAGAAATGGGCCGTATTTGAGTGTCCCATCCTGGACATACTTGATCGTCGACGCTAAGCGATGCGAACTCCGGCAAAGCATGTAACCAGTCGGCAAACAACACAAAATGCCGTCGCCAGTCCTGCATCACATCTTTCATTGTTGCCACACGCTCGGCTGTGATGACAAGCTGTAAGACGAAATTGGCTTGAAATATTTCCAACAAATTCCATACCGTGTCATACTGTGTATGTATTTCATTATTTTATCAATTATAATATTATACGGTATGCGGTAGTTTCATACTATGGGGCCGTTTGGGAGCCTCATCGTGTCCAGAACGTTCAAAAACAATGTGAGACTCTGTGAGTGTGAGACAAAAAAATCAAAAAAGATGTTGCTAGAAAGGTTTCAAATACATAGCTCACATTATCACAAGAATGCTGAGTTGTGGGCAAAACTTTCGACCCAGCCGGTATTCGCACCCGGATCTCTTGTTTTCCAGGCAATAACAGGTGACATAATTGCCCGTAAAGCAAGAGAACCGGGTAAGAATCCCGCCCGGACCCAGCCGGTATTCGCACCCGGATCTCTTGCTTTCCAGGCAATAACAGGTGACATAATTGCCCGGAAAGCAAGAGATCCGGGTACGAATCCCGGCTGGGAGAAAGTTTTGCCCACAACTCAGCATTCTTGTGATAACTTTCGCAACGCGAACTGCGGCGTAAAACAGCAGTTATCCAATGAAAATAAGTTAAAAACGCTAACATTGCTAGGCGCTTATCTTTCAGTGTTCTAAAATAGATCTTGGCGCAGTTATATAATGCATATCAAGCCTGTCGGTCTGAAAAGTTAAAGAGAACTACGCGACACAAGCTCTTGTTGAGCAAAGTTTGTTCCTAATTAGTGACCGGGACCCATGTTGATTACTCTATAAACTTTGTATATAATGAATGAATGATCTACTTATACCTACTACCAGCTATGATGTAGGCTAGAGTTCTAGGCCCAATGAACGCAAAGGGTCCCCAATACCGCATTGCTGAAAGATTTATGTAGAAGATGTAAGAACTTTCTGGGCTATCTTTCTGAAAATAGCTCTCGAGCAACATAGCTGCTGTTCAGCATTCGCTTGACACAGTCTGTTATAGTACTGACGTCTCATTTTTTGAAAATGTCCCCTTCACAAGACTATTGTTCTTTAATGCTTCCTTTTTCGATGCAAACAGAATAAGAAACACAGCAGAATTTAAAATTACTATTACGTTCAGTTATTCATTCACGGCTATAAAAAGTACATTAAAAGGAAAGCTACAAAAGCATAGTAAATTCAAAAGTTCCAAGAAACGAACTCCGAAAGAAACGCAGTGCACTCAGAAGCGGTAATTCTTATTCAGCCACACTTATCCATCGAGTATTTCACCCAACCAATGTTTAATTCACAAAACCTACCGGGGTTCTCATTGAAATCATGTTCGGGTTGTAGAACGCGTTGATGAAAGAAACACTCCTATGAGTGGGGACTAAACGGAATGCTGTGAAGAATGTTGTACATTCATAAAACGGCATGATACTGAGTAGGTAATCTTCCGGACTCAATTCGCGTAGTTAGCAATATCGTTGAATGTGCAAAATGTGTGAAACATGTGGATCCTGAGAAAGGGACTAGATGCGTGTCTGTAGGGGTGTTGTGGAATTGGTAGCTCAGCGGCATCGCTAATTTCCTAAGGTGAGGCCACATTCCCGCATAGATACGCATTCAATCCTAACTGGGGATTTCGCATATTCTGCACATTCTACGATTTCGACGACTGCTGCTTGAATCGCACTCACCGTCAGATCGGGAATACCCGGACACACCCGGAGGATCCACACGACTGCACACTTGTCGGTGCATAGCCAGTAGAGTGTCAGCAGCCCTAGAACAAAATGCACTTCTTCTATGGAACAAGAACAGAGCAATTCTCAACCTTTCCTAGCAGCAACTCGGCTACAGCTTAATCCTTTCACAACTACAGCTACCTAGATTGATTTGCAGAAATGAAAATGATTGTTGATTAAAAGATGAGCCACACCCATACAGCCGCATAATTACTCGGATATTCGAACGACTACACCCAGTATAATTAAACTGACGAAATTACAAATTTGATTTCTTCGTTTACATCCTGGATACTACCACAGTTCTTTTCACGGAAACAGAATGTTCAAATGTCGCCAGTATTGAGTAGAAGGAAACGAAGACTAAATGCGGGTCAAACGATTTTGTTGGAAATGGACTTATAGTGAGAAAATTCACGAATCCCCTCATCACTCCGCCTGCCTTCTTATATATCCCAACAATGCTGTACTTATGATCGTCGCTATCGTCCCACATTATTCTCTAGCTAGTCAGCTCCTTAGCGGTGAAATTTTGACTGAATGTGCTAGGCGTTGCAACTTTCAAGAACCTTCGGTAGAACAATTCAAGGCAAGGATGCAGCTGAGCAAATCACTGCAAGTAGAATCCGAAAAGCCGAATAATAGTGCGAAAAAACTGCTCCAGGGTGTCACCATGAACTAAAGAAAAAAAGAAAGAACAGATGTAAGAAGGACTGAAAGCAAACTGTACCTGTTTAATTCAGCGTCAGGACTGGGCAAGGCTTCTGTTTTCATTGAATACTGCTCCGTTTGGACTTCGACAGAACACCT